AACCGATTATTACTACTTCTACTGTTTCGAAATGATACCGCTTATAACGAAAACCCGTTATGACGACGGGCAAACTGCCCACTTGAACGTCCATGATACCTACATGAGTATAACAACCTGTGCATATAGCGATAAGAATTTTCGCTTATTTAAACCTCCTTGTGCGTCCACAGCTCTGAGGGACGTCTAACACAGTTACCAATAAGCGTTACCGTGCCTTTACACGTGCAAGTGACGCGTGTCAGCCAATACGTGTATCGCATGCTCCGCCGTCATCTGTACTCGGAACAGTGCGATCGTGAGATACGGCAGTTGCTACTGCCCGTCGGATCCAACATAATGGGAATTTCGAACTAAAACGTGGGGCTGAAGAACAGCTCTATTACGCCAGTCCAGATGTCACCCGCCCGCTTGGTGAGCGGAACAAAATGGCGAACCAGTGTTTCCCGAATAAGAGTAGTTCCTCCTATTTTAAATCCTCTAAGCAGCCTACAGACGTACGAAAATGTTTGTTCTGAGCACACAAGTACATTCCTAAGAGCTGTGAGTCTTGCTGTAAGAACTATTGCTGATCAACTGGATATGGTAGGAAATAATGTAGATGTGTTTTAACGGATCATCTGCACAGTCAATAATTTAATGTCTTTGACAGGAAGTGCAGTATAACAAGTCTTGTGTGGAACGAAAATTTCCGTTGTTTTCTGTAACCTCGGATTATTGAAGAGTTTTAGCAAGCTACGGAAACACGGTACGGAAATACGACACGGTTTCTTTCCGTATGCGCGTATACAATGGTCGCGCATGCGCACTCGTCAGCCGGCTCCGTGTTGTCGTCTTTTCACAACGTGTTTCCATAGTTTGCTGAAACTGCCCCGCTGCGGTACTCTAGTGGCTAAGGCTGCTGACCCGCAGGTCGCGGGATCGAATCCCGGTGGCGGCGGCTGCACTTTCGATGGAGGCAGAAATGTTGTAGGCCTGTCTGCTCAGGTTTGAGTGCATGGTAAAGAACCCCAGGTGGTCGAAATTTCTGGAGCCCTCCACTACAGCGTCTCTCATAATCATATGGTAGTTTTGGGATGTTAAACTCCACAAATCAATCAGCTTGCTGAAACTATCTATTGGTAGAGAACTAAGCATAATAGAAAATAAAATGAGACTAATGGGTACTTTCACACGTAGTCATTGAAAGCCTATACTGTTATTTCGAGCCATGCTCTGGTGGATTAAAGCCTAGCAGCAGAGAAACGCATAACACTGTGCGATTCTTGGCGGTACTACTAGTTACCGACAAACATTAAAGGGACACTAAAGTCAAACAATTTACGTCAGAGTGAAAGCTTAATGTGTGACCATGTCTAAAACGACAATATTATCAGCGGCAGTGCCCTACCTACCGAGAAATTAGATTAAATGCACCAGAAGAAATGCGCCACAGTAGGACGTACGCAAAATGATCCTAAATGACGTCAGACTTACCACCTACAATTAATCGCTAGTAATCAATCTAGCGGCGCTAAATAAAGAACCTTCCGTGCGTCAAGAGACGTAATAAAACGCTGACTGTTCGTTTCCGTTTGAATTCGTGGAAAAAAGAACCACCGGACAATGCTAAAGGCAATGGCGTGAGTGGTTCAAAAATTCAATTTTCGCCTTTTTAAACCTCTTTGCTTTGTGTCTGTGTTTACTCCCGCGCTCCCAGTTCGCTCAACAATCATGAATTACCAACTGGCCCACCTTTCCATCCTATGGACAGGTCGTGCCAAATAGTGGGGCCCAGTTGAACCAATCACGCCTGCTATTTTGAAGGCCATGGCTAAAAATCGTTCAATTACCGTTGTTGCGGCTGTGGCTCACGCTACTTTCCCTCTGCTGCTACGAGTGTCGGCGGCCACGCAGTAAAGCCGGTCAACGTTGTGCACAGCAACAGTGACGTGAAACGTTGAGGCGGGTAATTTTAAGTGCGCTAACCAGATGAGGACCACTAAAACGTGATTTTATTTCAAAATAAGCACTTCCTTGGTTGAAAGCAACACAACGAGGTTTCTGGAGCGCTATTTCAACAATTAACGTCGAAATTATAGTCGCCTTTAATGTTCCTTTAATTAAGCGTTGGTCTATCGTTCCCAGTTCCGCAAGGCCGATTTTTTTGCAAGCTTATATTAAGTCGGTGACATTCCCTCGATTTTTACGCGTACACCCAGAAAAATAATAGTACCTGTTAGCTTCCTGGTGAATTCTGACTTGCCAAAAAAGTAAAAAGATAATCTTTTACTTTCTAAAAGAGTACAAGACATGCATGTTTCCCTTCCTTCTATCTTTTCTATCCCAGTATGCAAACAAATATAGAATCAGATTTAAATAAGAGAAGCCACACAAAGACAGCATGTGTGCATTTAAATTGACATGCATCCTACAACACCACTGCTATACATGCTGAATAGCTTACTAGCATGCAGCATGTCGAATACCAGGCACAGGAAAATGGCATTCTTCACCAGCGCCCGAATTTCACGGCCTTACCGAAAAGTCCGCGGCAGCCTTTATGTTTCAGAATTCATACAGAATAGACAAGTTTAATTGAATGAAAGGAAAGAAAAAACGACACCTGTGATTACGGTGGGAATGAACTGAAACTAACACAAGTTAAACTGTTGATATCCCGTTACGAAAATGATCTTGATATATAGTGGTGGCTTGAAAGAAAAAAGACTGAATTTGTTTTGCATGTTTTTACTGTGGAGTAAACTTCACTGGCTCATTACAAGACACTAACATGCTAACGTTTCAGTCAAATTCATCAAGATTATTTACCTTTGTCGAGAAGCTATGGTTGCCGATGCACCCCTGCTTTTAAAGTACTTGTGTACAGTATGATTGTTACGGTGTCGCTGTATTCAACATTAAAATTAAATAATCGCTCCACTGGTATGCATTTAAACTTCCAAGCTCTTCGCACATCGTGTACATGACTGTATTTATGATATTGCTATTAAAAAGAATAGGTTGCAGGCACACAATCACGTAACATTGTGCGTTGTACTTGTACGAGTGACGTTTATGTTTTCTAAGAGAACAAGCATCGCAGGTCAAGTAGGCTATGCTGTTTTATGTAAATTTCTTGCGTCTGCAGTATTTTGTGTTTAGGACGTAAGAAGTGGCACAAATTTTACATACAGAAATTTGTATTACTTACATAAATGTCGAGTGAGAAAATGCCTGTTTTCCTGGTCAATATAACCACGTCAAAGAAGATTCCACCGACACTTTGTTCACTTTACTTACACCATGGTTCATAGGCTCAAAATAGTTATGTGTAAGAATTGCGTAACAATTTTTTTCAGTTTTTAAATATGTGTCAGTAACGAGTGACGTGAGCAAGTAATGCACTGTACGTATATTATAAAAAAAGGCATGTTTTACAAAACAGGCGCTGATTGCATCTTTCGGACAACATTCACAGTGACACAGGCTCAACGCACAACAATGAACGCAAGCCGCCTCGAACTCGTTAGGAATTGCCTACCAGTGAGTGAATGGGTATTTCTTTCTAAATTAACACGAGCTGCAAATATTTTATACCATTTATTTTGGCCTTTGTAAGGTCGTGCGCTGGCGGTTTGGGTTTCACTGACAATATGACCCCTAAAATGGCGGCAAGGACGTATGATTCAGTCAAGACAACTCCTAAATTAAGCTCTCAGGTGATATACCATTAAGTTGCACGATTTATCCTTAAAGTTCAGTAAATGTAAGATCAGGCTGTACCACCTTGCACTGTTTGTTTTTCTTTCGTAAAAATCATGGGAAAGTGCAAATTTCTGCGTGATTTAACTTGGAGCTTCGTCAATATATTATGTGAACAAATCTGTTTTCTGTTCACTTTTGCTTACGATTCTTTTATTTTACTTTTCTATGCAAAGCAAAAGTTAGAACGAGTGTGCCTACACTTTACAAAAGGTTCATTTCTAAGTACAAAAGGAATTCAATAGGCTTTTTGCAGCTGAAGGCTCAACCGGCCTTATTGATACGAAGGCAGCTACTTTATACACGTAAACGCAGCGACGGCGTGATATCCTATAACGATTAGTATTTTATAATCAGCACTCTGATATCTTTGCAGCACCAGTCATAAGTTTCCTGAGAGAGCCCTGCCTCCTCGCGTAATCTGAGCAATCGTGTGGAGTAGACATTTAAACAATCATGTCGCCATTCGTATTTGACTTCCTAGTTCTACTTTGCCCATCGCAATTATGTAAAATATAGCTTCTTGAATAGCAAAAAGTAACATTATTTATTTATTCATTGCCCTATTCGTATTCGCACGCTTACAAGCTGTCAGCACAATTTTTAAAAATCCATGCGAGATAACTATATTAAAGCTGCCTTCACTTTCAAAAGTTGAGAAATGCTAACGTAATTTTGCATGTTTCACAAAACATCTTCAGCAGCTCCGTTTGAATGCAAATGCTTCGCTAGAGAAACATCTACTAAAAAAAAAAAGTTGACGAGATGAGATAGGCTCTCAATGGTGAAAGGAAACGTGTTTTTAACTGAAGACAAAAACATTGCGTGGTGTATAAAGTATTGAGTAAAATGCTCGAGCCACAGTCCGGGGTATCAAGTGACCGAAACAATCCTATATTTAGCAGCTCCGCGAGAAAAACGGGCCGCGAGAAAACTCTGCCTCAACGTACTTTAAAGGAAAGGAAAAGTTCGCTTACTTCAAATCACTTCAGTTAACCTACGCTGCTTGAGTATTCTAAATTATGTTGCGTAACTTTCTGCTATAATTTTAGTTTCTTCTCTGGAACGCTTCTTCACTGGTTCCGTTTGATGCACATCGCACAGAAAGAGAGAGAGGAAATTGGAGACAAATGAAAAATTCACAACAGCGACTGAACCTTAGAAACGGATTCGTACTCTATGCAAGCACACTATCAGTTCACTTTGCCGTTTAGCGAATGCAGCTGTAAGTAACATGCAAATCTTCATTCACTCACGTTCAACTTCATTGGGCTTGAGGTCCGCCTGAAAACGGGAAAGAAGAAAAAAAATATGTCGAAAGAAGTTTAGGCTCGTTGTCTCAAGCGGTTGAGGGTCGAGAGGTATCCAAATTCTCGGGCCCAGAAATTGCAGGGACGCACCATTTTGTTCTTCCAGAGGGTTCTCTTCCTACGAGAAGATGCTCGTCGTCCTGGGTCCGGATCGCGAAGTGATGTGGAGGAGCAAACTTTAGGGTTGCTTATATGGTCTTCCGCGCGGAGGCGCCACCGGCGCTGGTCTATTTTCGCTCCGCTACCTCCTCTTTCTCTATCCTCCCGCTGACTAGCCCTAACGGCGAGCCAAGCGAGTTGCCGAGGGGAAAAAAAAGTTTCTCGCCGCTTGACAAGTGAAGCCTGCGCGAGATGAGTTGATGCCGGCCTCGACCGGAAGTTTAATAAAGCAATTGACAAGGAGGGAACGCCTCGGACGATGCCTGCTACGTGTGTGTTGATGCTGTCTTAGCGTCGGACGAGCGCGCGTGCGCGTGTGTGTATGTGTGCATCGCGGCTGCGGCGATTTGTCATTTCCTGCAGCGGCAGGGGCCCGTTGCCCGCGACCATTTGTGGAAATGGCTCGACAATTCGGTGAGCACATGCGCATTGATCTTGCGAGTGCTTCGTTTGTCGTGCACGCTGCTTGTAGTCGATCGCTTGGACGAAGGAGTCCGGTAGAGAAGCGAGCACCCGTAGCCGCTGTCCCGGCGATTCGTTTCGCTGAAGGGCGAGTCCGTGGTGCTTGTTCGTTTCGCCGGCACGAAGCTCCACCCGGCTTTCGATTCGATTTGCGCCACACGTCATCTGATATTGAACCGCTTGTCCTAGTACTCGTGCGAATCATGTCTAGGTAAAGTTTGCAGCCGTTTTGGGTGTCTGCCAGACTCTAAATATAGTTCAGACGGCGGGGACGAGTCAAAAGCCTCCGCTCTGCAGAAAGATCACCTATCGCTTTCCATTCCTTGGATGTTTTCTCAGCCGACTCGCCCGACAAGAATACACGCTACTTGCTCGGCCAATATACATCTGAGGCCGTGTAGTCGAAGTGAGCCTTCCAAAAATAAACATTGCTAGCTTCAGCGGAAGAGAAAAAAAAAAGAGGGGAAATTGTTTTGTCCAAGCTAGTGATTTAATTGATGCTACTGCTGCCCTCTTTGTAGCTCGTAAGTGAATAACCACTTGCCTTCCATCCATTTTCGCAGCGGAGAACATGAAGCAGAAGCATCATATGAACGAAATACCGCCAGTGTGGAAGTCTTATTGTACGTACTCAGCATTTTTCACTATAGACCATACCTTGGGTGCATTCTCCCGATTTTATGCAGGAGGAAAGGAATAACGGTGTTTATTATTTTCAGTGTACCAACTTCAGCAAAAAGCACCAACGCCAAAGAGGATAGTCTGCAATAAAGAGGTAGGCTATGCCCATCACTTACCTTGACTACTACTTTGTGGGTGTACAAATAAAAGAATGTCGTTGCCACAGGTAAACGAAACGGACGCGTAAAATAATCAGGTTTCATGTCCATGTCAGTACAGGAGGATAAGAATTATGCATCCGTTATGGGCTACTTTGCATTTCAAGAAAAGTACCGATGCTGGAAGTGAATTTTGGTGTGTGATCGCAGAGTGTTGCACATAGTGATAGAGAATCAAAGTATACAAAGCGAGCCTTATAAATGTACTAGTGTGATCGAAGCATATCACGTGGTATGTTTGGACTAGTGCAGATATTCCACTGGTTGGAGTTGGCATAATTGTAGCATGTTAAATGCGGATTCGTCTTGTACTAAATAATTTATAATGCATAAAAAGGCTCGACGCATTGACACATATTTTCTTGCTTGTACCGCAGGTGCCTAATCGTCCTGCTCATTATGGAAGGGAGTAAGTATTTGTGTATTGTTCATTTTTGTGTCTGCTAACACCTGTAAAACCTTGGCAGCAAGCTGCTAGTGCATGCAAGAATGCAAACAGAATAAAATATATGCACAGATTAGCATTCACACTAATGCTAAGCTATGTATACAAGCCATGGTTTAGTGTATGGAACATAACTAAAGAAAGCGCTCATTAAATCCAGTTCTGCTGTCATTTCCGATGGAGGCGGAAATGTTGTAGGCCCGTGTGCTCAGATTTGGGTGCACGTTAAAGAACCCCAGGTGGTCTGAATTTCCGGAGCCCTCCACTACGGCGTCTCTCATAATCATATAGTGGTTTTGGGACGTTAAACCCCACATATCAATCAATCCAGTTATGCTGTGAAAATCAAGTCACTACAAATGGTTAAAAAGACGAAGAGGTTTTGGTCGTGCTATGGGGGCTGTGTCCACAATTTTAGTCTTTGTGCTTGTGTTTTGATCATCGGTCAGCGCATGATTTTTGTGCCATGAACTTTCCTGATCGAACTGGTTTCCATCGAACCCTACATTTCATGAATCCGTTTATGCCAAACATTATGTGCGACAACTTCACGCAGACACCTATTTGAAAATATCTTGGCAACACGAGCGGATATTGTCATCTTCCTGCAGCTGCGCTATGGGACGGGTTAGAGAAAGCTTGGGATAATGTCTGTTGAAATGGCTGTTTGTTTTCAGTGATGGAATGCTAGCAAGTCGTGAAGGTCAGTTAGACCACAAGCTAAGGTTGCCCAAGCTCTTTTGTTTTCTTGCTCTCTCTTCGGTGTGTTTTTGGTCACATCAAGCCTTTTCAAACACCAAGGGTACATTGTGACATTTCAATATTCTCGATATTTGACTAAGCATGGTTGCTTCAGAGTTGTCTAGAAATATAAAAACACCCTGCCATGTTTATATCACTGCATCGCAACAGTAAATGAGCAATACCTTATGTCAACTCACGTGTTCAACCTAGGTTTCATGGGATTATATCCCGGGAGGAAGCGGAACGCATGCTGCAAGAAGGGGATGGCTGCTATCTGGTCAGAGAAAGCCAACGTGCTCCTGGTCAATACACGCTGAGCTTAAGGTGGGCCTCTCTTTGCTTTCCTCTGTTTGCCTACACAAGCTCATTGGCCGTGCTTTTTCACGTTGATCGCACTTAACCTAAACGAACATGTCGCCAGTGTGGTCTTATCTGGTACTAGCAGCAGTTTTGTTGTGTCGGAGATCCTTTTAGCACTCATTTCATTTGTAGTTATCTCTTTCTGCGTTTCTCCACATATTGGGGTCATAGGTTTGACACACGGCTAGAGCAGCCGCCGGTCAACGGGCGTAAGTATGCAAGAACTTGTGCTTGTGTGGAGGGGGTGCTTAATGAAGGGTCACTAAAAAATAAAATGATTTCAGGAGTATTAGTAAATAACCTTACCGCAACACGGAAACAGCGCTATTCACAAGACTAGGTGCTCAGTATGTCAGAAAATGTGGTATAAGAGAAGCTATTGGAAACGTCACCTTGAAGTTCTCACACCAGCTTGCCATGACAAATTATAGATCTTCATGGAGACTGCTAGCTCCTGCGTAGTTCTTGATCAGAAAAAAATGTGCATCATATTGAGTTTCTAAGGAGTAGGAGATTTTGCGTGCCAAGTTTTAGGAGCTTATTTACCCAACATGCCCATAATTTTTAAATATACCTTGAAGTCTTTGACATCATGCCAATCTGTTAAAGTTGCTAGGGGAACTGTTGGGGTTTCGACAAAATTTTAAAAAAATCAAAGGTTTATCCCAGTTTTTTCTTATAATAATACACTTATGACCATGACATTAGGGACGACATAGGATGATAGCATATTCATAAAACAATTCATCAGTATGAACTGATTTAGTGTATAAATTTCACATCTCTTTAAAGGGGCACTAAAGAGAAAAAGGAGTCTTCTCATATTAGTAAATTATTCTTTCGCAGTACCAAATCACTATACTTGCGGTGAGAAGACACTCGGTAAGAAATATTACATGGAAAAGACGAATGCGAGTGGTATTGCCGCCTTGACATTCCCGCACCAATCGCCATGACGTCACTGATTCTGATGGCTTCTGCTAGGACATGCGTACTTCCTAATCAATAAATAAGAAGCACATTGCCCTTGTAAGAGGCTAGAGACTTCGCGTACGAAGTTTCAGAAAGTTCTCTTGAGTCAGTGTGACCAAAACACAAATAAAGCATTTTGAAACCTGCAATGTCACAAATGGTGTTCTTGGTGCAAAATTTGAAAGTGAAACTCACTTTTATTTTTTATTCTAATAATGAGATTATGGTGTTCAAAGCGACTACAATATGGTTTTCAGATTACACTTTATCAATTTAAGCTGATTCATTGTTGAACTTCAGTGTCGCGTAGTGTGTTTTCATTCTACAGGGGAAATAGGTGGTTTTTGTAGGTTGCACAAATTTTTTTTCACTGAAGGAACTACAGACCTAATATTTTATGTAATACATATATGAGGAACGCAATGGAGGAACTTTTTATGGTTACAAGTTTTGTTAAGGGTATGTATAATATATGAGCACTGTAAATAGCCAATTTCAGGATAATGAAAAATGATTGAACAGAGTTTGCAATAACACGCTTCTACCTACCTAGAAAAGAGGTGAAAAAACATTATCATGTACAAAACATAATTCTCTGCGATAGGTACCATCTGTAAAAAAATTCTACATTTTCATTGAACATGACCTACCGACAAAAATTTTACTCTTAGTAAGCACTACCGTTCGGGGCATCATATGGCAAAGTAATTCTTCCATATAAAGCATAGTGAAACATTGCATGTATTGCAGTAAATCCTTGTTTTGTGCGTAATTTTCTAGTAGCACTTGCATTTCCTGTAGTTTTCATAAGTTTGCTTCCTGTCAGGCTGGTTTTGAAAGACAAATGGAGATGGCCCGCAGTAGGAAGCAATGTTGACTGGTGTTCTGGCCTGGTTTGCATGCTCATTGCTCCCATAGCCAAGGTTCAACCATAAAGCAGCACGCTCAGACTCGCTACAGCTCATCAAATCAGTACAATCAGCCGAAAACACGTCGTAAATGTTGAAATCTGCAATCTATCGAAAAGTGTGCGCGTGCTGCATCTAGGGGCAGCCACGCTTGCTTTCCACTTAAGCGATTGTGCAACTTCGAAGCGCGCTAAAGAAATCAATGCTGGGTGAGAACTAAAATTACATAAAGAAGAAAACAATAGTTCTTATCTGTCATGACAGGTAGTGTGGTGTATCTGTGAATGAAGTGGAATGACTTAGAAGCAGCAATTCAAACTATTGATAGCAGGTTATTGACACTCTATAGGTGGGGTGCGGAAAGAGTTAAAGAATTGCTCTGTGATGTAATGCCCTGTGAATTAATCATTCTGTGTAGCTACAATAATTGCATACGAAGGTTACATTATCATTTTAGAAATATTGATCACCTCAGAAATAAGATTGCTTATGAAAGATCAAGTTGTCTTTACTTAAACCTATTCACGTAACTTAACCAAATCAGACACTGTTTTTGGTGATGTTTTTTATCTTTTGAACCTCTTGTTGCAATCAAAGAAAAAAATAGGCTTCCAAGCCAGCAGTTTACATTTGACCAGCACTGTTGAACATGAAGCTTGAGGGTGTGGGTTCGGTACTTGTCCATGGTGGCCACATCGCAAGGGGGAGAGGGCAAAATGCGTAGAACACCCATGTGACGAGACTTAGTGGCTTTTTAAAGAACCACAGGTAATCAAAATTAATCATGGGTTTCCCACTGCGGCTTGGGAAATGAATCTAGGTATTATACAGGGTGTTTCAAGAAATGTGTCCACTATTATTGAGAAATTACAAAAAGGAGCCATCTGCGGGCTGTCTGCAGTGTTCTGTTTACTTTGGCAGATGGCATCTTCAGACTTGTACAAAGGTTAATAATGGCTGTAATTATTGAAATTAATACCGTATCCTTTTAACCAGTGGAAATAAGTGGCTGAGTCAAATGAGTGAATTAAAGTCCCTGCATGAAATAGGGCATAGTCACTTCGAAATTTCAGAAAGGCAGCCACTGGTAATCAATGCAGGGTGATGAAATGTGGCTAATTTAGCAGGCGAATTCAAAACCGATGCACCAAACAGCACATCTGCCATTTACTTCGAAAAAACCCTCAATGATGACACTGTTTTCCTCGCATCAGGCGAGGAGGATAAGGAAGCGTCAATAAGGGGCCACGCGGCAGGAAAGCGCTGCTACGAAACAAGATATGTAATTGGAGGTTGATAACAGCGACGGAAACAGTGTCGTCATTGAGGGCGTTTTCGAAGTGAATGATAGATGAGCTGTTTGGTGCGTCAATTTCAAATTCGTCTGCTAAATTAGCCAGTTTTCATCACCCTGCAGTGATTACCAGTGACCGCCTTTTTGAAATTTCAAAGGGGTTATGACCTATTCACAGCAAGCACATTAGTTCACTGATTTGATTCAGCCGCTTATTTCCACTGGTTAAAAGGATACTATATTAATTCTTATAATTACAGACATTCACATTTTCACACGTCTGAAGATGTTTTCTGCCACAGTAAAGGGAACGCTGCAGACAGCACGCAGGTAACTCCTTTCTGTAATTTTTCAATAATAGTGGACACATTACTTGAAACACTTTGTATATTATTACTGTAGAAAATGGCATAACAATTGCATGACCTCAGGGGATATAACTTGAGCATCTTGCTTTATGTTCTTGTTTCTTTCGTCAGGTTTGGAAACGCATGCAAGAACTTCAGGTTGTATCACGACGGAATGCATTACGTGGGAGAGAAACGCTTTGCAACGCTACAAGACCTGGTGGCCGATGGTCTGATCACGATGTACTTGGAGACATACGCGGGCGAGTACATCAACTCCATGTGTGCTCAGTCACGGTATGAGGACAGCCCATACATGACACTCCACTCGTACCAACGCCAGCTGCGTCAGAAGCAGCAGCAGTCACTTCGCATGCGCCACCATCGGCAACCACCGCCCGCTGCCGAGCAGGAGAGTCACGAGTACGACAAGCCCGATGAGGTAAGTGAGGGGCTGTCATTGTGCCCAGGATTATGTGCGTGCAAAACGTCGTAGTTGATTGATATGTGGGGTTTAACGTCCCAAAACCACTATATGCAAAACGTCGTAGTTGTATAGTAGAACGTCCATTGGTGTATCTCCCATTGGCATCTCTCCCGTGGGTAGGGGGGACGAGGCCCTCTCCCCCCCCACTGAGAAAAGTACGGCAGTGGTCATTGTCTGCTACCCTCTAAGTAACAAACTGAACTGAGGCAACATTTTCATTCAGCACAGCAGTCACGTAATCATATATAATGCGATTTCGTTACCTATTTTTCCTAGGCTCGTGCAGAGAAGCTTTTTTTTTTCATGTCTCGCCACCATGTATTGTAGGCTTTCTGCATTGCATCTCTAATGCATTTATTGTGGTTTGCCTGACCTGAAATTTACATCACAGGTGACGCAGGTGCTGGTGAGAACCAAATAGGAAACATTCTATGGACCAATCGCCCGCTCGTCCCGCCTTAAAAATCATTATCTTTCCTAGAAAACAAGTTGAATCGCGGCTGATCTATATTTAGGGCTCGGTGTTTTTGGATTATGCAAAAAAAATGTCATATACACTTGCTGGTAAAATTTTTGGCTGTTCAAATTCTCGTTTTAAAGAGCATTTCCAAAGCTGATTTTCATCACTTTAACAGATAGAATATCCATCAGTGTCACCAATCTTGTAAAGCAGTGGTTCTCAGCCATAAATGTGTCGGGGACCCTTTGTGAATTTGTGGAAGTGATGGGGGATTCCTTGCAGTGAAGGGGAGAGAGGGAGGGGGTACATAGGTAAATTAACACAACTGGAGCATGAAATAGGCGCCTTTTATTGCTACCACAAATGTCAAACAACCGTGCCACATCACTTCATTTTGGATAGTTCATGAATACGTGGCTCAGTCACGCTTAAAGAAAAATGCGGATGAGGGTTTCTTGAATCATAGAAATGGCTTCGCAGGCCCCCAGCATCCCAGACCCCCATTTGAGAACCACTGTTGTAAAGTATGCTTGAGTCTATACTGAAACAAGCTTTAAGTTTTAAAGTTACAAATGTAGGTGTTTTATATTCAAGTATTTGTACTGGTGTGCATGTGTTTGTGTGTTCAGGCCTTCTAGACATCCAAAATACATTTAGCCTGTTTGCATGTTTCGTGTTCAGGTATAACTTCATGTACAGCTTTACAGCATATAGAATAATAACATTAATTAATCCTTTACATTAAATCAAGATTATGAGATAGGACAAGCTGCTTGTCTAGCTCCTGTCCTCCAGAAGTACACTTTGGCGAGTTTGCAGCAAAGCAATGCAGTGTTAAAGCAGTGTGGTGCAGCTTTATTAAGAGTGTAAGTAAAGAGCAGGTGAAAAACAAAAACAAACGGAAGCATGGAGAAACAGGATTCCCAGCAACAGGACGACGCATTTTCGAGGAAAATGAAATTTATAGGAACACATTGCGACAACCTATAAGGCAAATGAAAGACCTGATTTCATATGCTTGGGCATTTGCCGTGAATCGATGAGGGCATAGAGGTGTTCTTGAGGGGGGCCGAGTTGGCAGGACTAAAAATGGTCTGCATATTAGTCTTCAATTAACAGCCTCTCTGAACTCATATTATGGTTGCGTGAAACAATTGTGGTGGCTCGCAACCATGTGATATGGAAGGCAGTCGACTCGGGCACAGAGGGAAGCCCAGCTGTGAGGCTCGCCCGGAAACTTCATCGACCTGAGCAAGGAGATGGTTAGAGTTCGCAGCTTTGTGGACTAAGAAGACTCTCCTCTGTTTCTAGTAATATATATTTGTCCCAATTTGCAAACAGTTCACATACATGTGTGTAAACGGCTTAACATCCTTATACTACAAGCCACAAAAATATTAAAGGCTCATGAATTCGTGTTGCCAACTGCTATAAAAGCTGCCACAAAATTTATTGATGAGAATCTGAAATGTAAGGAAAACAGTCTGTTTCTTTACATGTCTTCTTTGTATAAATATACTTATAAATAAATATATATATATGGCCTACACAGTGGGGCAACCTGGTGTCACTGGTCCCGTTAATTCGGGAGGCAATTGCCGGGCTAATTCCAAGGGCCGAGGTATCGGCCCCCCGAACCACACCACGAAAGCGTAGACAATTTAGAAGTGGTTCTATTTGGCGTGCCAGCGGACGCGGGCTGTGGCCGAAAGAACAAGTCAGAGCTGAGAGTTGATAAACAAAACAAAATTATATTCTCAATAATGGCAGATAAAAACGATACACAAATATGCACACTCGACAAACGTTGAATATGATATGATACCAATCAAAGAACGTACTACACAGTACAATCAGCCACACTCGAAACAACGGACACAAACAACAATCCGCTCTACAATGCAGTCACATGCATCGAACAACCGGGGCACTTAAAGACGAAAGAGTTCGAAAACTTATTGAGTCCAAAGTCCTTGGAACAAAAGACTGAATGATACTCTTCCGAGAATCACTCACTCAAAGTCCAGCGTTGTTGTCGTTCCCCTGCCCCCGAAGTTTCTCTTCCAGGAAACCTCGCGTCTTCAATTGGCCGCTCTCCAAGCTCCAAACTTCTTCGCCGGAAACACGTCGGCTTCACGCACATAGCTGTTGCTACGCGTCTTCGCTTGATAGCGGTAGACACCCACTCTTGCCTGTAGCTCGAGTCTTCACCCCTCAGGTGGAAATCTTCTTCTTCTCCTCCTTTGTCACGGAAGACAAAAGGCTTCGCCCACAAGGCGGAACACTCTACGCACTCTGGCGCATACTTTCTTCTTCTCCTGCTTTGTCACTAAGGATAAAACCTTCGCCAACAGACACGGCGGAATACCCTACGCACACTGGCGCTAACTTCCTTCTTCTCCCGATCTCCCATCTCTGCTGCTCGGTTAAATACCTTCCGCCCGAGATTCCAGAAAATTCTCATCATTTCATCGGTGCGATGCGCAGCGAAGGCTGGGGGAAAGGGCGAGACGGTACGAGGGCCGTCCGCGAAAGATGACGCAACCCTTCATCACCACACCCCTTTCCATCGAGAACTTTCTAGGGCTTGCTCGGCCGCCGATGCGAGGAGATTGTTGGGGAACCTACGCTTCCGAGGGGAGAGGGACGCTCACCAGGGGAGTCTTTGGATGCTTGTTTTCTTTTTTTTTATCGTTGACCTCTCGGCGCTTCGTCGCGAGAATTTGGCGGCACGCCCTTTTTTTGAGCGCTCGTTTTGTGACACCTGGCCCTCCAACTTGTGCAGAAGTAGGTATGACACTAAAGATGTCTGAATTTGAGGAATTGCGTGCGACTGTTCATATTGATGCCAACCCACTGTGTATCTTCGTTAGTATTCATTTAAGGGCAAAACAAATTTCATCGCAGTAAAGACTCTGTTTTCAAGCTTTGATCTATTATGCGCTCTTGATTGTTCATACCTAGCAGCATACATACAGCATCATACATCAGCAGCACTATCCTTTCATAGAACTGATGTAGTGCTACAGCAAGGTAGGTGTATGTCAGTCTTTTAGAACCACAGCTGGCCAAAATTAATGCAGAGCTTTCTGTATTGCATACCTCGAAACCCTCATTACCCTTGCTTGAGAGCATCTTGCGAAACTAGCTGCTGAATGCACTATTGATTATTGATCGAGTGCGTTCAGTGAATTGGCATTGTTGCCTTGTCGTTGTTAGCCTCAGTAGCAGTGGTAAAAAATTGAAGTAACTTTGACAATGGACTTGAAAGTATCCCTAAATGAATGTATTATTGTGATAGCACTTATATGGACAGACTCGGCTGGATTTTATCCGCCGGCAGTGACGTCATTGTGGGCGTCACTGTCACTCATCGTATATGTATACGTATCTATATGTAGGAAAAATGCAAGAAAGAAAAAAATCCAGAAAAAGACTCTGGCGCGCAGAATTGAATGTGGAACCTATGAAATGTGAGTTCTAGGGGTTAACTACTGAGCCACAGAGGACCACGTCTTTTAACGTTCCAATAGCAAGCTATTTATATCTACCACTTACCGCTGGTGACAGGCATATTAGGTGGGACTGTTGTGTTTTCAGCTTTGCCAGCAAGATGGCGCCATGAGCGCGCGTCGTTACATCGTCACGACCAAAGTCATGATGCGGTGGCACGCGCTTTCATCTACCACGCGTACTTTGCCCCGCGAAGAGGAAAGGTAGACGCTCACACGCGCGCCCTTATCTTGCGGTGTTGGAGAATCGTACATCTTGGCTGGCATTTGGCTTTCACCGGAATGATTTTGTTGTAGTTATTGGGTGTACAAAGGTCACTGCAATCGTTGCAGTCTTCGTGAAAAGAGCGCGCTTTTCAGACACAGCGAAGTAACAACTGAGCCGCTTATTCGCGTTCATCTGTACCTGCGAGTACGTTTCATGCGTTACTTGTGCGTGAGAAACTCGGGACACATTTCGATCTGCTTGCCAGTCTGCGCGTGACCTTCCAATTGGTTGCTATTGTTTTCATTGCTTCGCCTTTGTAGCAAAGCTGTGACTTTTTTGTTATTGGGCATGCTACAAAATCAAACTTACATGCATGGGTCTAACATACTATTTTTGCTCCCAGACACCTTTGTAGCCATGATTGCTAAAGTGATATCATCATTCATGTCATCCCATGGCCACATTGCTAGTGTTTGAACTGTTACTTTTTTGGGGGGGGGGGGGCATGGCCTGTGATAATAAATGATGCTAATGCTGCTGAAGTTGATGCTAGTGCGAGTTGGTACTACACACCTAATAGCAGTTTGAAACAGCACAAAATATGGAAGGCCGGTAGAAATGGTTAAAGGTGGCCACTGCAACCAGAGCATATCATTTAAAGAACAACTTAGTGTATTGCATCCTACTGTAACTTTATGCTGTGAGCCATGCCCTTGCATGTCATCTCTGAAGAGACACGAACATAAAACAATAGATCTGTTTAGATTGATAACTTCTACTCGGAAAACTCGTGGCGCCACTGGTTTTACTAATAATGAGAACTGACAGACAGTTGTACGAAGGACAGTATAGGGGATATTATTAGAAGTAATTTTGTAATGTAGGTGTGCAGAAAGAAAAGAAGATGAAAAGAGAACTTGCCGTGGGCAGGATCCGCAGGTTTAGATCCTGCTCGCGGCAAGTTATCTTTTCATTCACTTTTCTTTGTTCGCATTTATATTAGAATGACTTCTAATAATATGCGCTATACTTTCCTTGGCATAATTTTCTGGCAGTTCGCATTAACACTGTTTCTAACCCTTCTTTCTCACCCTTCTTTCCTGGTTTTTCTGTTGTAGTTTTGGTAATAGAGCAGAAAATCGACTTGAAAGCAATTTGAACTTTCAAGCTAAAATCTCCACAGCTTATGTCACGAATTTTGAAATGTATTTTTTGTGCTTTGCAACGTAGGCTTCACGAAATTTCCTGAAAATTGATATGTTAATTCTGTGGCTTTCTCAGAGGACAACGTACTTCATTTTTACTGATTAGGAACTATGCAAGATCTGGTAGTTGCTGTGAAAATCTATGATCAGATGACATTTGGGGTGGAAATTTAAAGGTGGCGTCGCCACCTACATATTCTTCTTGGGCGTTTTCTCGTTTACTTAGCATCATGTGGCTAGAGAGGTGATTTTGGAATTGTGAATGAGTAATTTATCTATATGAGAGCAATTGTTTTTCACTTTGTTGTTCATTTAATAGTGGAGCACATTGTCATTTAGCTAGATTTAGCTAGAGCACTGTGTGAGACTTCCTCATACAAGTCATGCTTAGGTTGAGCTTTGTATTGAATACAATTTCAGGAGCTCGATTGTCCCTTGCTGGATGGCATTCCCGAGGACATCAACGTCCAAGATTTTGAAAAACCTCATGCTTTCAAGGTAACATGCGAACTTTCTATCTTTTCTTTGAGAATAGTGTTCTTTGGTGTTTTTTGATGGCAGCGATCACATTCAGTCGGTTGCAAAATGTGAAAGAAGCCAATTCATTTATTTGTGCTTTTAGACCCTTGCATGCTGTGCAGCTATCCAAAATTCTCACTGAGAATATGTCTGTACAATTGAAATACTCCAGTTACCAACTCGCTTCACATCCTCCACGAGAATAAGTTTCATGTTACTTGCACTGTGTTTACCAGAAAGGAAAATTGTGTTCTGCATGTGTTAGAACTTGAGGGCACAAAATATCATTCAGGTAAAAACTGCACATCTGTGACAGCCAGAAAATGATAAACACCACTGCAGAGCCGAAGACCATTTTTACTAGAATGCTGCACAAACCCATCTCATTCACTGCATGGAAAGCACCAAGACATCCAAATCCATCAGTCCATTTTGGAGCTGTAATTCAGCTGTGTCTCGACACCACTTGGCGACAACTCGAAGGTGTCACCCATTGGTCAGTTGTATGGAAGGCAAAAAGAATGGAAGCTACATGGCATGTACTTCAATGAAGTATGACCAGTTATACAGTCGAACTCCTTTACAAGAGACACTGATATAAGAGACCAATTGGTATAAGGGACACCAGTGTGCCTGAAGTAAAATACAAGTTGATAGAAAAATGCATACATAGTACCCTGCTTATAAGACAGATCTCATATAAAAGACAAGAATTGATGCCCAGAGCATGCTTCTTATAAAGGTGGTCAACTGTAGTTAAAACAAGCTTCAGCAAGCAAGGACTGTATCTTGAGAATGGGGCATTTACGGAAGGCTAAGGAACTGTTGTTCCGCTTTAGACGGTTATGAACCAAGTAGGCACTCATTGGTGGTTTTAATTTAGATTTGTAGACATTGTGAGCACCACTTAGAAGTGGCCGTATCACGTTGATGCAATCTGTTTGCACTGCGAAGTGTGCATGGTACGGCACATAGTAAAGGCAGCCACACTATCTTCGATGAATTGTTCCTTTTGATTGCGCCTACTTACCGTATTTACACGATTGTAAGACGACCCTTTTTTTCAAATTTGACAATCCAATGTTGGGGGGTCGTCTTAGAATCGAAATCGAACCATGTACCTTAGAATCGAAATCGAACCATGTATTGTCATCTCGAATAGTTTCCCGCTCAACCCAAAGCGCATAGTTTTCCGCGTGCTTATACAAAAGCTTTTCTTTTTTTAGCATCTACTGCGCGCATTACGAGTGCCTTTATGACGAGCGCACAGCTCTTGAGGGAGCACCGGTAATCGATGGAAGAGCCGCCGTAGGGGGGTATTGGTAGTTGACGGAAGAGCTCCTCTTTGTGATACAATTTTCTAAGCGGGCGCGTTGCCGCGTGCTCCTGTCGCTTGTGTCCATGACCGGCTCTCTTGAGTCACTTCTGTCTGACATGAGTGCCGTGACATGAGGACGAAAGTTTGGAATCGGTGAATGTGTGGTGCGGAAGTGGCGGCTTCAGCGCGAGGAAATTTTCTCGTGCGACTCCAAGCGCCGTGGCTTTCGCGGGCCGAAGTCTGGCCGCTTTCCGGAACTAGAGGCGAAGCTTGCGGCCCACGTGACTGACCTACGCGATCGATCGTTGTTGGTCGCATAGGTCGCGTAGGTTTTTTTTTTTTTTTTTTTTTTTTTGAGATGCGATTTTGGGGGGGTCGTCTTACATTCGAGTTGTCTTACAATCGTGTAAATACGGTAGTTCATTGCTGTCATTTGCCCTACTAGAGAATTGGCATCATAAATATGTACAAGATATGTAGGTACATTCTAATAGACAAATGGCATTAAAAAGACGGGACAAGAAAGGATACACATCACAGGGTTGACTAACAACAAAATGTTTTTTTTTTTTTCTTCCAGTCAGCACATATGTGTATACTGCACCTCTAAGACAAAGAAACAACAGAAGAAAAAAAAAACAACAAGAAGTTAGGGTTCAGCCTGTGCAGAGGCAATAAAGTGATCTGTGTATCGGGAACTTTATCTGCTTTGAAAGGAGGAGCATCAAGTAGAGGCTTACAAATGCCTCGCCCCTGTTGTGGACACGGACAGCTTCCGAAACTAAATGCGGGCATTCATGTATTTTGACGAGAATTTCATATCTCTAAAGATGGCTGGCAACTGTAGTCATTGCACCGAAGAGATATTCGACCATCTCTAGCTTGTTTTTGAACCTTTTTTGAATGCTCGTGCATGTAGTCATTAGCTCACCGCCCTGTTCGGCCATCGCCTTAATGCCCGCAAAAAAACAGATGGAATTATTCACACAAAATCGTGGTCTTTGTCCTTTCTTGTCTCGCCCCTTTAGTGCTGTTTTTTTTTTTCATTCGTAATCATGAATCAACCAGCCCAAGTGCCTAACGGGCCATGTACAGTAGTCACGGATTCAAACGTGATGTAAATGCTCAGTTTCTCAAGATAACTGCGTCATATGGTGACAAACCTTGTCTCTAAGGATAATATTGGCTTTTATCTATGCATACATGTCGAAATTATGCTGATATGACCCTTACTGAAGACAGTGTAAACGAAAGTATCTGCATCCCTTAGCTCTAAATTATCCTGTTTCAATCAGTCAGTACTGTACATTCTTGACCAGTATAAGACGGAACACTGAAATTACCCACTAAAGGTAATTACCCACCAGTGGTCAAAAGCAGCTGGCGAGCACGAAAGTGTTTGTAAAAGCAAATGAATATTCAAGCAGAGAGGCACGTGTTGTAATACAATATGTCATATTCATAATGGTAAAAATTTTAATTGTTGATTCATCATAAATTCGGCTTTCTCTTTCATATTGCTCACAACTGTGCATATGTAATAATGCCTGCTATGATGCTCAGCTGCTCGTTATGCAGCTTTCTTTCAATGACAGCATATTTTACACAAACAAATTTGTTCAAAATTTTTTTTCTTGTCCTATAATGGATTAGAATAATTCTTTGTTGTCTTCCGTCACATTGTGATTGTTTCTAAGAGCTTTAACTATGTATGCGCTTGCTTTGTTTGTTTTTTGTTGTTTTTTGTTCTCACTCTGCTTGAAGCTGTGTAAAGCCTTGCGGTATTTAATGAAGAAAGAAATAACTAGCAGCTAGTTCAAGCTGTGGTATAGAGTAGTCTTTATGTCATCTTGGTGGGCTACATCTTGACAAAGGTTTCTTACTGCACTAAAGACATGGACAACAGAATATGAGAAGCCAGTTCTGGCTTTGATGGTTTCAGTTTCAAGGTGGTGTCAGGGACGTACTAAAAAAAGCAGTACTGCTTAAATTCATCACTGATTAATATGCAGTTTGCAGCTGTTTATGAGAGATGACTTTCTGAGTAGAAAACTGGTGTTGCAAAAGCATTTTAGAGCTTACTTCTGCAGTTCTATTTTCATTACATTGTTAGAACATTGGTTTTGATGAAGGAAGGCTCTTTTTGTGTTAACCAAATATAAAACTACACAATTAAGATATTGGCATTCCACTGTTTGCCAATTTGTGTTTAGAGTAATGCATCTGGTGGTTCATCGAATCTGTTGAATTAATTAGCAGGCAAAGTTATGGTTGTCATTTCAAATTAATGTGGCACTTGCCAAAGACTTCTAGTGGTTACAGTGCTCGACTGCTGACCCAACGGCCACTGGATCGAATTCGAACCGTGGCAGGCGCAATTAAATGAAACCATGTGCTTGAGGTTCTTGTACCTAGACATATCTCTACCTTGAAGATCAAATACTGTCTAAATTTGCAGAAGCCTCCACTATGGTGCACCTCATATTCTTATCGCACTTTTGGGATGTGAAAACCCAATAGCAATGCTTATTAAAATAATTTGATAAATAATAATGGACTGTGCAAATAGAGCTTTTCATTTTTCTCCCGTTTTAGTACTCATGAAAAACATGCGACTCTTCAAATGGTGCCGATGTATTTAATTTGTTTCGCGCAGGTGAATAACTTCAAAGGCCTCCCGTGGTGTGACTTCTGCGGCAACTTCATGTGGGGTCTGATAGCCCAGGGCGTACGGTGTGAAGGTGCAGTTTTGATATTTCTAAACATTTTTGTTTCTATCATAAATCTTCTTTGTAGAATTGTGTTATTTTGTTCGTGGTGGTGTTATATACAAACACAGCACAACTGTCTGTATGCCATTCGAGGGAATGCTTTTTGTACAGTCATTTTTCCAGAATGAGATTACCAAGAATTGTCTGTCTTGGAAAGATTGTGCCGTGTGTTTGAGTACGTTTCATCTTTAGCCATAGTTTTTCGCATGTACAGTTGTCAAGAATGCTGAAGTTTAGCATTGTACACTAAGTCATTTCAGTTTGTTTCACCACTAGCTCTGAAACCTAAACATATTTTCATTTCATATATTTTGTAAAAATATTCTCAAAATACTGTTTAAATACAAAACAGTGTCTTCATGTGCTTTATCAAGTCAAAAACTGAAAACTGAGGAAGAAGTTATAATTATCATCATCGTTAAGGAACTTTTGGCTAAAATTTGCAACTTTTTGGAAGTCCTAGCGACTTCATAAAAAAAAAAGTGAACACCACTGGTACTGATTTCTTTTGGATAGATGGTTTCACAGCGTGGCACTGCCACACAGCAGTAAAACCACATTTATAGGGGGCCATATGCGTGTGTTAATATTACACATATTCGTTCACTTTGAATACTTTGAAATTTTTAATAATCCGAATTTGTGTCAAACCAAGGTCGAATATTCTAATGTTTATTTTAATGTTTGCAGTGCCCGAACGCTCGCCCATTCCTAGTAATTGTGCAGTGCTGTCCTTTCAGACTGTGGCTTCAGTGCACACAACCGATGTTCAGAGAAAGTGCCAAACGACTGCCTGCCGGACACCAAGTACGTCAAGCGGGTCTTTGGGGTGGACCTGACCACTTTGGTGAAGGCTCACAATACTCCTCGGCCATTTGTTTTGGATATGTGCATCAAGGAGATAGAGCAGAGGGGTAAGTTGAGCAACACACTGAGGTAGCTGAGCGATTAAAGTGTTGCAGTGGTTATCTGATTGTCGTCATATATTTGTTTGCACATAGAGCATTATGTTGTTGGAATTAATCTGGAGTTCCTGACACTAGAGCACAACTCCCAACTTTAACGTAATTTTGGTACATAATACACAGGAATATAGCTGCAGTATACCTGATCATAGAATCAGCAAATTGGTAAGATTTCCCACTACTTACTTTCACTGCTTCTGATTCCAACATTTCATTTTCTCAAGACTGGTACGAAAGTAGTCGTACTAATAAACCTGCCTGTAACGAACCTCCATATAATGTATTGCTCTATAACGATCCTCGATATTGTCAAGGGGTGAGAGTAGGCAGAGGGTAGAAATATATTTACAGATTGTACATGGAGTACACAGTGTCCTTGAACCAAGATGGCAGAGTGGCAACAACAACACGAGCTTTTGTTCAATCGTCATCTTTGTCGCCTTTATGGTGCATTCTTTGATGTTAATGTCGACTTGTATCATATAGCCCCCGCCGGTGAAAGCGCCGTCTCGGCGCTTAAGAAAGCGTGCGATGCTGCACAGAGAAGTACGGCTTAAGGCGGGAGACGTGTACAATATCAGTGAACGGCAAAAACGATGAGGATGGAGTGTCCAAGGGGGCGATCACATAGGTGACCTCAGTCAGTTGGCGCAAGACTTTGTAAGGCCCGTTGTAGCGAGCGATGTACTTCGAGGACAGGCTAACGTGACGGGAGAGAGTCCAGAGCAAGACCAACGATCCTGGGGAGTAAGAGACAGCTCTGTGACGACTGTCATAGCGATTTTTTTGAGAGAGCTGCGAGGCAGAAAGGCGATTCCGGGCAATCTGGCAGGCCGCTCGAGCACGAGTAGTTGCATCGCGAGCGTACTCGGTAGGAGTGTCAGTATGCGACGGCAGAATAGTGTCCAAAAGCAAAGTGGGGTGACGGCCGTACAAGGGATAGAAGGGAAAAAAGCCAGCGGTGTCTTGTCGTGACGAGTTGTAGGCAAACGTCGCGTAAGGCAAAGTGGCATCCCAATCACGATGATATGCGGAGACATACTCCGGTACCCAATGGTGATTATGTACTGGCACCGATTTCGGACGTGTTATTAGACAGAAATGTTGCCCTTCCTCATACTCTGTTGACTATTACGAATAATGTGGCGTCGCTACCGATACTGAACTTCAGCTGGTGCATTCAAGTTGTTCCAGATGGCATGACTCGAGCCAACGTCTCTTCCATCAGGGAACATTCTGTTTCTGCATTCATTGCAGACGCTCCTTTGCCCGGTTCTGCATCCTCTTCATAGAGCTCCACTGATGCCGACTTTGACAAGATGATCGCACCAGACCTCGCTCCAGCACAGGCAGCCGATCTCCGGCATATGTTGGCATTCTTCAGGGACATCCTCGACTTTGGCGACAGCCCTTTAGGTCAGACGTCAGTTGTTACTCACAGGATCAACACTGGAGCCGCCAGCCTAATCCGACGACGTCCATATCGCGTGTCACATGCAGAGCGACAAGTCATCCAACGCGAAGTTCATAAAATGCTCACAAAAAGCGTCATTGAACCATCTTGCAGTTTATGGGTTTCACCAGTCGTTCTAGTTAAAAAGGAGGATGGCAGCTGGCGCTTCTGCGTCTACTACCGTCACTTAAGCAAAGTCACGCACAAGGACATTTACCCGCTGCCACTGATTGACGATGTCCTCAACTGCCTGCACCGGTCTGCCTACTTCTCCTCTATCGACCTGTGTTCAGGATACTGGCAGATTTCCGTCGACGAATTAAACGGTGGAAAGACTGCATTTGTTACACTGGATGGACTTTTCCAGTTTAAGGTAAGGCTCTTTGGCTTACGCAATGCTCCCGCTACATTTGAGAGAATTATAGACTCCCTGCTACGGGGTTACAAATGGTCAACGTGCCTATGTTATCTCGATGACGTCATTGTATCTTCGTCGTCATTCGAAAGTCACCTTAGCCGTCTGTCAGCTGTTCTGGAAGTTTTCAGAAGGGCAGGCCTACAGCTCAACTCCTCCAAATGCCATTTCAGCCGCCAAACAATCACTGTGCTAGGCCATCTTGTCAGCGCTAAAGTCGTGCAACCCGATCCCGACAAAATTCGCGTCGTCAAAGATTACCCCGCACCTCCACCAAAATGTCACGGGGTGAGAGTAGGCAGAGGGTAGAAATATATTTTCAAATTGTACACGGAGTACACAGTATCCTTGAACCAAGATGGCAGAGTAAGCTTTTGTTCAATCGTCATCTTCGTCGCCTTTATGGTGCATTCGTTGATGTTAATGATGACTTGTATCAATATTATGAAGCTTTTATATTTCCTGCCGTTACTTCATGAAAGCACGTGTATTTGTGACCTCTGTGTAGCAAAGTAATGGCAGGAGACATCCTTGATATAACGAATTTCCGCCTCAAACAGTTTAGCAATTTCGCCCTGGATTTTGTCATTTTGGCTAGAGCATGCATCTACCACGGCTGCCCCACCGCCACTTCGTGCTTTGACGCCGGCATGCGCGGCGCGCTCGTGACCCGGTGATTCCCAGGTGAGAGGGAGCACTCGTTATTGCGCACAAGTGTGCCCTCGAGCCGGCATTGACGGGCTCATGCGAAGTTGTGCCACCCCCCCCCCCTTAAAAAAAACAAGAAAATATAAAAAGCTAACTACCTTTGAGTTTTCGAACAGGTTACTCAACAATTGACCACACTCATACTATCAATCAGGTAATAGAGAAATGCTCAGAGTATAACCAACCACTATACATAGCCTTCATAGATTACGAGAAGGCGTTTGATTCAGTAGAAATATCAGCCGTCATGCAAACACTGTGGAATCAGGGGGTAGATGAAGTATATATAAACATTCTGGAAGAAATCTACAGGAGATCAACTGCTACCATAGTGCTTCATAGAGAAAGCAACAGAATACCAATCAAGAAGGGTGTAAGGCAGGGGGACACAATTTCCCCAATGCTATTTACCGCGTGCTTACAGGAGGTTTTCAGAAGCCTAGAATGGGAACAGTTAGGGATAAGAGTCAATGGAGAATACCTTAGTAAACTGCGCTTTGCCGATGACATTGCATTGCTGAGTAACTCAGGGGACGAATTGCAACTCATGATTACGGAGTTAGACAAGGAGAGCAGAAAGGTGGGTCTTAAAATTAATCTGCAGAAAACGAAAGTAATGTACAACAACCTCGGCAAGGAGCAGCGCTTCGAGATAGGTAATAGTGCACTTGAAGTTGTAAAAGACTATGTCTACTTAGGGCACGTAATAACCGCAGAGCCGAACCACGAGGTTGAAGTAACTAGAAGAATAAGAATGGGGTGGAGCACATTCTGCAAGCACTCTCAAATTATGACAAGTAGATTGCCACTATCCCTCAAGAGGAAGGTATATAACAGCTGTATCTTGCCGGTACTTAGCTACGGAGCAGAAACCTGGAGACTTACAAAGAGGGTTCAGCTTAAATTGAGGACGACGCAGCGAGCAATGGAAAGAAAAATGGTAGGTGTAACCTTAAGAGACAAGAAGAGAGCAGAATGGATTAGGGAACAAACGGGGGTTAAGGATATCATATCTGAAATCAAGAAGAAGAAATGGACATGGGCAGGGCATGTAGCGCGTAGACAGGATAACCGCTGGTCATTAAGGGTAACTGACTGGATTCCCAGAGAAGGGAAGCGGGTTAGGGGGAGACAGAAGATTAGGTGGGCAGATGAGATTAAGAAGTTTGCGGGTATAAATTGGCAGCAGCAAGCACAGGACCGGATTAACTGGCGGAACATGGGAGAGGCCTTTGTCCTGCAGTGGACGTAGTCAGGCTGATGATGATGATGATGATGACCTTTGAGTTGGCAGTGCCACTCATCAATCAGTGCGGAAGTCTCTACACTGCCCTTCCAGTAAACTGCACTTTCGTTGACGCAGAGGATTCCACTTTGCATTGCACTTTTAGTTAGTAACGTCACATATGAAGGGTTGCACTGCGTATGGACAGTACGTTACTAAATAGTTTTTCGCAGTATGCGTGTCGTTCTCCCTTCATTGCCGCGCACCTGTGCATGGGTTCACTGTGTAGACATGAAGTGGCCCCTTACGACGTTAAGCTTTGTTGTTTTTTCTTTTTTTTTAATGCAGACAATCGTGTCGTCACTACCGAGGAGATGTCAGAATAGGCGCTGATGGAAATTTTCCGAGACCATCGTGACAATGACAGATCATCGGTGGTCGAATCATCATGTGCTTTGCCATTTCGCGCCGCAAGTTCACGGGTCCATAGTTCTTGCAATAAGCCGATTAACTCTGGCAACATGACGGCGTGTTGTATGCGCTGCAATGAATGCAATACCAACAAGTTGTAATGTTATTCGAAGTAAGGCTGGCAGCCAATTCTTTTGGCTCCGATATTACGGAACTTCGAAAAAATGCTGGTGTAAGCAAATACAGCTGCTCCAGGGAGAAGTGCTGTTTCCTCAGAGTCTCTTTACTTTGAAAGCGCACCGATGCTTGCTGAGATAGCACGCGCACCAGCGATCGTGACTGCGCCTTCTGTTTGAGCATTCAGCGGCGGTTCTAACACACCAGAGAACGTTATCGTAAGCGCGCCCTCCAGGCGATAGAGATGGGCCAGCTCACTTGAGTTTTTCTTCAGCAGGGCTTGCGCACTTTTACCTGCTTGTAAAAATTTCGATGCGCTATCAATATGTACTTGTTACAGAACGTGGTGGCGACAGCAAAAACCGCCTAGAATGTCCATATACTTGCTGTAAAAAATAATAACAATGTTTTTTACCGCTGAGTAAGTGCTTTGAGTGAGCTCTGTCTTGAGTTCCCCTTTTGCCTATTTTTTGCGCATATTTTTGGAATTTTCGTACCAAATCTGCATACAACAAAATGCTCTTTAAAACGAATTTTTTCAGGAATGTGTCAATTTTGTT